AAAACAGATGGCACCCAGAAACCAACAAACCCCACCAGTATTTAATAAAATGTAATGGATGAAGAAAATGTAATGGTCTACTTAAGCTAGTGCTGGCAAAAGTAACTTCCACGACTGACCCCATTTTTGAGATGTTTTTTGATGTGCTCATTTATATTTAAATCACTGAAAATTTTCAGTAGAAGAAAAGTGCTCAGAATAGTGAGCAGCTTTTTTTGCAAAGCAGTCTAAGGTCTCAGGAATACCCTTTTTTAAACATCCTTTATTTTTACTAGTCTAAGCTATAGAAATACTTTTAAAATTAAGAACAGCTCCTACTGCTTGACACAAATTCATTCCTTTCTTTCTTCCGGTGAATAACCTGAATCTTTGATTTTGGAAAAGAGTGTTTAGTGACATACTGTAAGCAAGAGTTTTAAGAGCACATTATCTATAATGCTTATGAGATTTTGTTGTGGCATTGAGCACCTATAGAGACTTAAAGGACTGAGTTTTACATGCTGGCTAACTATAGCTTTCTGTTAGGGATCTTATAAATGGGGGAAAAGATTATATCACTATGCATTTTGATTGTAACATATCCATGTATGTCCTTTTAATTTGATCCTTTCACTACATAATGCTATGTGTTATTTCATATCCTTGGAACTTCGGTAATATAACGTGTGTGTCCCATATCCCCTCCAATAATGCCCATCAGCTAGCACCTTACTTCTGTCATAATCAGGAGGCAATGCTGGGTTTATTTTAGATAAGCACTTCAAATAACAATATACAGACTCCCTTGTGAAACAGTCATCAGGAAACCAGCTAATGTAAGAAAATGAAGACATCCAAGAGTGATGTTTAAGCAAACTGTTAGTAAAGTAGGTGGAACAGTTGATCACAACCTCTTGGAGCAGATGGAAAGAACAGCAAAATACAGAGTGGAAAAAGAGACTTGCTTCTTCCTTCTGCATTACCATTGTGGTGAGAAGGATAGAAGGTAGTGTCAAATACGTGTGTCTATGCTTGCATTATATCAAAAAGTAAATCAGTTAAACTGCAGCAGTTTCTGTTTTTAGCCAAAGCATCAGGGAGATGTATGGTATATAAAAACCAAAGTTCACCACTGGCAAAAAGATGTAAAACTTTATTGGCCAAAAGGAAAGTGCCTGTTTGTGGACTGCATTAAGAATTTTGGAGCTGGTCTGGTTTGATTTAGTAAAAAAGCGTACCCCTGATGATTGGTTTAGGTGTTTTCCTTTGTTGGGTTTCTGCCTAAGGATACTTGCTGATTTCCATGATGTTAGCAATGGTGGTTTCAAAGAAAATAGGGAAAACCCTGACATTTGAAATAACAGATTGGAATTAAAAAAATAAGCAACAACCCCCCCAAACAAACAAACCCCCAAAACTCCACATTGAAGGTAGCAGAACAGACAGGACATGTTAGACACTGCATTTTAATTTTAACAGTTGAGGATAAATAAAGTAAGGTCAGGTTAATGCTGATAATGTGAAATTTGCATCATTTGGGGGTTTATTTAGCAAATTAGGCTAATTGGTTTGGGTTTTATAAATCAAATCTTTTTTTAAAGGAAGTATTATCATCATGGAGTCTTACAAAGGCAAACAGTGCCTTCAGCAAGTTCTTGCTCAAGTGTCAGAACTATATATGAACTGCCTTTATCTCAGCCATCAGTCATCTCAGCCCCTGACACTATAGTTAGTGGTATCAGTTATTTCCCTACTTCAGAGTCAGTTTTTGATGAGTTTTCTTTCAATATAAATCCATTTGTTTTTTTTTTAACAAGGGTGGAAACCCAGGGTTCACATTCAGTGTGATGGACACTGCACTGTTTCTTCACTAGCGTTGTAACTAACTGTATTCTGCAACTTTCTTTTATAGTTTTGTTTCAGTTTTTTAAGGCTCGCCTGTAATTGATACTTGTGCACTAGTTTATTGCTGACAAAAAATTAATGTATGACAGATATGAAGAAATGGGCATTCATCCAGTCTCCGTATATAAATAAACTCCTGAAGAAACAGGAAGATTTACATGCATTTCCAGCCCACAGAAATGAAATTCATGATAAGAAACAGACATTAAAGAGAAACAAGCACTTGCCAGAGCACTGGAAAGTACTTTTTTAAACTTTTTATTGCATTTACTTCACATACAGGAGTGATTACTGGTCATGGGAGGAAATTCAGCCCTTTGCAAATATTCAGTGATAAATACATCTGTGAACAGAGCATGGAGGCAGCATGTGTGCTAGTGAAAGAGTGGCTGAAAGACTGGAAAAAAGAGAAAAGGAAATAATGTAATTAATTTTTAAAGCACTGGAGATTTCCTGGCATGGGATAACAAATTCAGTGGAAGCCAACTATTATACTCCAAGAATTGAATATTAAATCCATAACTGGGGAATATTTTATAGAAGAAGTTGTTTGGAAGAGGCATTCCGGTCATGTAGTGTTTGTTACCTGTTAGTCAAGCAGGAGTCACCACTAGCAGTATTGATCAGTGGATTTTGTATTTAATACATACTAGACTAAGATAACCAGCACTGTAACATTGGATTAGTTATATTAGCAGTACGATGAATGTATTTGACAGTGCAGCATAATCAAATGCTTTGGCCATCTTTTGGAAGATTCCCTTAATTATCGTGTGATATCCATTACCTTCTGGGGGAACCCTCCCGGTTGTCTTGATTGTGAAAAGCCCTTCCAGATTTTCCTTCTTCTAAACTAGTGGTTTCCATCCTTTGAAGTGGTCTCTGCTGTGGAGATCAATGCAACTTTCAAGCAAGTCACAGGTAAGATCTGGAGGCTTTCACACCATCCCCAGATTCTGTCTTTTTCTTGCTCCCCCAGCATATCACAGGCTGATACCCCAGCCCCATATAGCCTCCATGCATCCCCAGCTCATAATGGCTGCTGTTCTTTCTTCTATGGTGGGCAGTGGGAGAAAGCCAGCTGTGAGGATGACAGCAGCAAGGTCAGCTGAGTGAGTTCCTTGAATACATTCAAGGCCAGGCCGGATGTTGTTCTGGGCAACCTGATGTAGCAGAAGATTTCCCCAGTCATTGCAGGAGGGGCAGACTAGATAACCTTTGAAGGTCCCTTCCAACCCAAACCATTCTATGGTTCCATAGTATGGTCCCCTGAAGCTGCCACAGCCTTTATTGTTGACAGATTTTATTCACCACCTTGTAGGATTTTATTTCCTACCTGGTTTTGTCCCACTCACACTCACAGTATATTCACAGGACAACTGAATCCTCAGCTTGTTGTCACTCTAGTATTGTGTCCCTCAGTAATCGTCCCTCACTGGTATTCTGCTCTGTTCCCAGGAGGAGGTGGTGTAAGTGGCCCACATCGCAGGGGAAAGTGAAGCAGCAGTTGCTCTAAGGAAAGGATATTAGGACCAGCATTAGAATGTAATATTTTTGCATGTTTATGCATATAGTTCCAAAGGACAATGAGGCTGGCTCCTGACCAAATTAAATCAGCAGATTTTGCTTCTTGGGAAAATTGTTCCTCACACCTTGTGGAAGCATTACAGAAGAATTGAAGAAGTGGCACTGGAAGCACAAAGAACTGAGTGAGGGATTATACATTAAGTTTGCATGTTATGGCACAGATGCCTGTTGAAAGGATACAAATGCTGTTAAACTGTCAATATAACTCCAGAGGATGACCCCCAAAAATTACTAAATTGAGAATAATATTTTTATTTCATGTCTTTTTGGAGGATTAACTATGTTTTTTAATAATCTGTAAAGACCTGTAGGAGTAAAAATGTAATGCACAACGTCCAATGTATTAACATGCTAATTCATTTAGAGGGAATCTAAAAAGTAGTTTCACCTATTTGCATCTTCATGCACTGTGTTACAGAACCTGTTAAGCAAGACATGTCCCTGGCACAGCTAACACCCTGTTAGCACCATCATTATGGATTATGGGATATCCTGTCATGAACAGCATGGGAGTAGTGCAGATCAAGGGTGGGATGACAGGCTCTGCAATCCTCATTCTGAAATGCAGTATTTGATAAGTGATCATAAATGAGCAGGAAAGATTTAAACATTAAACAGAAGCTGGAGGAGGCAGTGTGGGAGTGCCTACGTTCCATGTGTGTGCTCTGTCGGAATACGTGTATTGTACTGAATGTCTTGGGGATGCTGCGTGCTGTGCCACCCTATGGAGGTGTTTGTGGCTAAAAGCAGTCGTGCTGGTTTGGTGAAGCAGGTTGGAGGTGGAGCGTGTGCCTTGAGTTGTGTTTGAGTACTGTAACTGTGCTCTGTCTTTATGGTAATCTGAGAGTTGGTACGGTTCCTCCTTTGCTGTACTTTAACAAAAACTATCAGAAAAAAAAGAGGTTTGTTTGCTCTGAGTTCTCTTCAATTCTGCACAGCAACTCAAAATTAGTAACTTCCGTTATCTGGAAGAATGGATGTTCTGATTAGAAAGTTGAGGCAAACTTTACGGCTTATTTTGTGAATTAAATGCCACAAAGAACAATGCATCTGTAATCAGTCTCTTAAACTTTAGTGTGACTTCAAGTAATTTCGTTGTTTTCAGTCGTTATGCTAGTGTGCTCTTTCATCATCATTGCTTGTGTCCTGGAGAACTGCATCCAGAGTATTTTGAGGGAAATGACAGAAAATAATAAGCAGCTGAAACAAACAAAACCAAAAGAAAACAAACAACAAAAAAAAAATCCCACCAAACCTAAAAGCCCCCCACCACAGGTTAGGAAACCTGAGGAATTCACTTGCATGCCTTTGGAGCTAGGGCAAGATGTAAAGTGAAAAAGGAGCTTCCATGCTTCCCTATCACAAGTCACGAGAGAAATGAGCTTAGAAGGAAAATGTCATGTTTTAGTTGAGCATCGAGTATGTCTCAAAAGGCATTCAAGCATGGGAGAACCCGGCAGAATCTCGCTGTCTTTGGTAAAGAGCTACCTTTGGAACTGGTTGCAAGGTAAGTGAGATTCTGATACCTAGTGTCAAAAAGTTTTTTTAAAAACCCAAAACTATTGATACATAAATTGCATTTTCTAACTTTTGAAGAGGCCAAAAAGGACAGAAAGTGTTGAATGGGGACAGAAACTGATACTGTGTTGCAAAGTTCTGGATAAGGTGTGTTGCCTTTTCATGGGAACCCAACGAATTCCTTGCACTTACTGCCTGGAAATGAAAGAATGTGAGCAGCAGTAACGGCCAAGGTGAAAGAAACCAAACAACTTCCAGATAAATTGAAAGAGCTGCTCTTCAAAGGCTTCCTTCCTCTTCTTCCAGTAGAATAGCATATGTGGAATAAAAACCAACTAACTAAGAAAGGTGAGTTGTTATTATAACAATACTATAGCAGAATGGTAACAAATTTGGTGTGAGTTTACTGTGAGATGCAGTATAAGAAAACATATTCTCTCCAGTTGTTATATGCGAGCACAGTGTATCACTAAGTTGTTATTTCCAAAATTAGCTTTGAAAGAATGTGGGGTATGATTGTTGTATAATAGTTAATGGATCTCTTGAAAAAATAAATATGCTGGCTTTTTTCATGCTTAGGTTTGGCAGTGAGGTAAAACTTACAGGACCTTTTCTTAAGGTTCTTTGCTTTATAGTCTGCAAGAAATGCAGGAATATTCTGAAAGAACTGCATCAATGAAGAACACTTCACTGTACTACAAGTTAAATGCAGAGTAGATTTCAAAAAGAAATGTATAGAATAATGGGGACACTATTTCCCTATGATTTGGGTTAAAACCCCCATAGGTATAAATGTCTGAAACCAGGTTACTTTTAACACATCATGTAGATGAAAAGCTTTCTTCTAGAACATCAAAATTCATTCACTGAGTGTTAAAGCACATATGTTCAGAGTCACTCAGAAGATTGTTTTTCTTCCTCACAGGTGACAGGCAGGAATCCTAAATCTAAGAAGGAAATGATGTGATCCAGCTCAGAAAAGATGTTCTTGGAAGCCTTGCTGGACTGAAGATAACCTAGTCTGAGATTCACAAATTCTAATACATATGTGCTGTAGCAAAGCACTGCCTGAATAATTCCTGAGTAGTCAAAAACAAAGTCCTGGCTGATACTGAATGCTGTTGCTAACTGCAACTTCTGCTGCCTCTACCAATGGTGGCTACAGTTACTGTGAGCAAGGTACATATAAGAACCATTGATCTCGATGTTTTTACTTCAACTAAAGACTGAGGTAATGTGTTCTTACTTTTCTTTATCAAAACCAGGAGAGGACTAAGTAGAGTGAAGACTCCATAGAGTTAAATGGGAACAATATAAAGAAGGCAGCAGAAAGTGAGGGTAAGCATTGTTAATGTGGATAAAAGTAGAACAGGAGACCATAACCTAAATATAATATCATATTTAATTTGTTGCATTTGCTACTTTATTTACCCATTCTCCTAATAAATATAGCAAGAATAAAATGCAAGGCAGAAACACCACTATTGAAATAAATAATGGAGGACAGCTGTGTGATATCTGGGAAAGAAACATTCAAGACCCAGAAATACCAATATGTTAAAGTTCATGAGGCAAGTAGCAGTGACCATTTTTAAACACTGCTTGTCTAATCATCCAAGCTGTTGAATTACACAACTATTGAGGTAAATAGGAACTGCTGCTGCTGATCTCTTGTTACAAATTAGGCCACCGGAGAAACTGCTGGGTAGCTGATCTGAAAAAAGTTATTGTTAGGGAGCGGTAAGTTCAGATAATGATTACATTTAAGACTAAGTAGGTGACTGAGTCTTGTATACATTTCACCAGTTCAGCTGTACAACCCTCTTTATTTTATTTATTTTTTTAGTTCAAGCATACATCTGATTTTTGTAATTACTTTCTCAAAGACTTCTGAAAAAAAATCTATTCCCAAAAGCCCAAGGATTGTCTAGTGACAGGTAGTCTGAAACAATGCATTTCAGCAAATTGAATTTTTAGTAAACAGGTTACTGGGAAGATAAGCAGCTTAAGTCAGCTAGAAAAGAATGTTCACAAATAGAACATTATTGCATCAACTTCCCTCCAAACTGCTTTGTAATTGCCAGAAGCACACAGTAAGCACATTTCCTGTGCTTTGGGCTGTAGAACAGTAATTCAAATTTTAGGGCATCTAGTACCAATTTAAAATCATCATAGTCTAGTGATTCAAAGCATTGAGCCACTATACAGTCAATGCAAACTTGCTCAAAAGGGGTGTTTGTTAATTTGTTTGATAGGTAACTTCAAACTGTCTGACTGTGGTTCTGTTATTCTGTGTCTGACTGGACCTTCACAGGTAGCCCAGACTTTTCTTTTTGGTAGTTCCTTCTTTTTGCCTTCCCCACTTTCTGTGCTCAGATGTATAGTACACTGCTGTCCTCATGTGTGCCTACCCCCAGTCCTCTTTCAGTTGGACGTTCACAAGATATTGTATTCAAATCTTTTTGTTTTCAGTTATCCAAATATTCCAAAACTTGTGTTTTCCTCCTCTTTTTCCCTTTGACCTCAGTATAAGCTATGTAGGTACGCTGGATATATCTTAAGACATGCTCTACCTCAGCAGCTATAAGTGAAGGCTGTAACCATATGCCTGTCTTGGCTTTTTCCTGAGACTTTTCTCTTCCTGCATCACCACAAGAACCACACAGCTCAGTTTTGAGGAAGGAAATGCGAATGCACATCCTGACCCAGTTGTCATTGATTCCAGTCAAAACTGGTGGTAAAATGAAGCTATGCAGGAGAGCTTGCCAGGTTGGACGGAGCCTTGGGTGACATGGTCTAGTGTGAGGCATCCCTGCCCATGGCAGGGGGTTGGAACAAGATGATCTTACAACACGGTGGTCCTTACAACCCTAACTATTCTATGGTTCTATGATTCTACCCCTCACCCCCCATGTAATGACTAATTGTATATCAAACCAGAGTTAATGTAACAGAGGTGACTGAATTTTAGCTTAAGAGAGCCAGATATGATCTGTTTAGATACTTTCCAGAATAGTGGGCTTCTCTGTTGGCTATGTCAGTCATCACTTTTCCCCACAGATTCAACATGTCCACGCATGTCTTGTATAGTAACAACTCCTTCACCCTCCTATCATCCCAGGAATGAGTAAGCATGGCTTTCTGCTATTAGAAAGCAGTCTTGATACACACTCTGGATCCATCATAGATTTCAGTCTGGAAGGCTGAACAAATATACTAGTAATGCAGACCTTCAATGAGCAAGAGGAGTCTTGCTGGGTAAAAATGAATCATCACTCACATTTTCTTGCCCGAAGAGTCTTGGGTGAACTGCTAGGAAAAAAACTACATGTGTTAGACAGAAAGATATTCCCCTTTGGAAAAAGAGAGCTCCATTTCAGGGGAGCTGGAACAGAGGGACAGGAAGGAAGGGGATACATGGTTAACTCACACAAAAGCTACCCAAGTGAGAAAAGCCTAACATGCTTCATTGTTTTCATCACCCTGAGCTCAAGGGAGGCAGGGATTTTCTGAATGGCATAGCACAGCATGTCCAAAACCCGGTGGCTGTTTGCATTTTCAGTGCTAATTAACACCACCACAACAAAGTTTGTGATTTCCAGCCTCCAAATGATTGCAGCAACCTTCCTCTCAGCTCAGTATAACTTGGCTGATGGCTATTTCTGTGCTGTGTATGTTCGGCACAGATCTTCAAAAGCATTGCCTTCTCTATTGTGTTTCTTGCCATTGTCTTTGCCTGCTGAGCATTTGTAGCTCTTTCCACTGCCACCAATCATTTAAAAATCTCGGATGTTACTAGCATGGATGTTAATTTTATTCATAATAAGAATTTGTCCTGAGCAGGGCCAGCTCAGCCTCCTTTGCTTTATATGTGCACGCACCTTCTCTTGTCCCGTGTGGTCACCGCACAAGGAAGCTTTTTCCTAGACAAGTAATTTCAATACAAACGTGTGTAATTTCTATAACCAGCTCCTGCCTTAACAACTCTGTTTATGCTGCTCAGTGAAAGTGTGTCACAGTTTAAGACTGAATTGACAGTGAGGAGACTAGATGGATTTGGATACTAAAGCTCCTGGAGTCACAGATATTTAATGTTGAAAGTGACATGACTTCCCTGTTGTTCAGGAGAGAATGCAGCGTGATGTCCAGCGTGACAGTCTCTAACAAAACCTGCTTCTTCTGCAATAAAGGAGGTGGTGTGGTCCAGAAGAAAGTTGGATGAACCAGTACAGCAGTCCCAGCCATGCTGTGGGTAGTCCAGGCACAAGGCCCTGGGGTTCCCACAGCTAACCCAGGGCTTCTGCTGCACCTTCTCCCCAATAGCACCCTGTCAGGAGCGCTCACAGCTGGAAAGTTCTCCATACCTCAGCAGTGGCACAGCAATTAACAGGTTAGTTACAAGGGAATAATTGAAGGGTACGCAAGGTCCAAGCCCTATGCCAAGCCATCATGTTGTTCTTGGAGGATTAAAATGGAAAATGTCCTGATGTTTTTTGAGACCAGTCTTGCCCTAGTAACAGCTACTGACAAGCATGCCAAGAATACATCAGGCAGGTGGGTAAGCCCTGGACACAGTTCAGATGACAGTATCAGGCATTGACAGTGTACACCCACAGAAAACCACTAATGTGTGCTCTTACTAGTTCAGAAAAGTTTTTGAGATACAGTTGTATAAATACACATGACCTGGCTAAATGTATATCTTTAGATGATCCAGCAATGGATAGACTTCTTCTTAAATGCCTTGGAACCATGGCCTGAAATTCATTCACAATCAAGGCAGTATGAGTATGTTAATAACTGACATATTGCACTACCACAAGCCCACTCAATAATCTGAACAGCTCTTTCACAATTACAGTACTGAACTATGATGACATTATTTTAAAATGCTGTAGGATATGGACTTTTTTCAAAAAATAAACATTTTATGTTAAAATATACAATGTTTGTTTATACATTATACAATATACATATGTTTATACTTTATAAAGTGTGGAATGTACACTGTAGTGTAAGGAATTTAAAAGAAGACTAAAAATGCTTGGAGGAACGTCAGCATAGCCACCTACATTTACTCCAGCACCATACGTAAGCTGAACAAGTCTAACCATGCACATTCACAGATCAGCAGCTGCCAGGATGAAACTCCCTCTGTCCTTCTCTAATGTGTATAGAATTGGCTGTCTTCAAGGTAGATCACTATCTACTACTTGGCTCAGGATAAATGGTTGGAAAAGGCACACTTCCCACATTAAGAATGACCTATTTACTAAACTGCTGGACTAACGAGAACATAGTACACTAATATTTGTGATTTGTTCTATTTCTGCTGTATACATTAATGGTTCTCTACCCATGCAAAAAGCTTTGAACAGATGCGCTCATTCTGTTTTCTCTAGTCCTTCTGATACTCATTGCAGCAGTCCTGTTTCACTATATATGAATCATTTTAACAGGTCTTACATATACATTTGAGAGTTGGGAAAAACCCAAACACCATTCTAATCAGCAAGCCCAAAACTCTCAAGCACTAGGCAGAGCCCTGCAAGTGTTACCTCATTCTTGTTCTGCAAGAAACACTCTTTTTCTTATTTTGCCCGAAGTGGAAGAAAACACAGCCTACAGCTCAGACGTTCATGTGTCTGCAATAAAACTGGGGTAGAACAGATAACTTACTGTCCCTTCCAGGCAGCTGCCATTATTTTCTGTAATCTCTGTGCAGCACTTAGATATTAGTTTAATAGGTTCCTTAGAAACTGGCAGAGTAAAATTATGCTAAATAAGCAATACTTACTAGAAATTCTTCTGATCCTTCCCTGGAGGCATAGTTGAACGTTACAACTGACTCCTCAAAGGCAGCTGCCCCATTTCCAATCCATTCATTTCTTAGGAAAGCATTTTGCAAAACGGAAAATCTTTATTACTACTCAGTCAGAATGATTCTCTTCAGATTCCAATTTGTATACTAACTCAAATTCAGGGCTCCTGCTAATCCCTTCTTTTGTGATTTTACATGGGGAATAATTCAAGAAGCGGAGCAGGCTGGATGAGGCAGGCCTTCGCATTTCATGCAGCAAAATGAAAGATACTAATTGAGAAGCTGCATGTTGGGAAACATCTTTTTAAGCCTGTCAGAAATCTATGACCATAGTATTTACCATCATATGCATTTTACTTTTGGTGGTATCTTAAACTGTAAATGTATTTCATGCTTGTACCTAAAATAACATGAGTTTGGGGCTACATACACATTTAGGCCTAGGAAATAGATGCTAAGTTATACCACGGGATATTTCTTTTCAAAACAGCAAATATTTTAGAGCAGGGCTTGTACGGAACACAGTAGAATTTATGCTTACTAGCAGTGTTAAAACCAACAAAGGTAGGTCTTTTTTGGTTTTCATTCACTGATATGATGCTATTACACAAAGATTATCCCACCTAAGGTTACATGCCTAGAAGTTAGACCTAGAAGTTAGACCTAGAAGTTAGCCAAAGTGAGTAGTGCAGGCTCTCTCCTGAGTTGGTGGAGGGAGGCAGGCAATTCCAGAGGGTGACTTGGAGAGACATCATGCTTTGACAATACCTTTGAGCGTGTAGTCTTGCACAACCTGCACAACAGTATGCTACCTTAGAGAAAGGCAACGTATCGCTGATAGAAAGAAGGCTCAACATATTGGTGATGCTTGAAAGCATTCATGGTAGTAGCAGAATAAAGTTCTTTGAGGCCTCCGAGGCGAAGAGCTCCCCATGGTGATTACCACAGCCCAGAAGAGGGCAGTGGTTTATCAACAAACTCCTGCCCGGAGCATCAGGACTTCAATCCCGCTGGCACACCCTCAGGGCACAGCCGCGGCAGCGGGGATGGATCGATGTTGGAGCTGACTGAAAGCGGGTAGAGCTCTATCCTTTAATGGTTCCACCATGCCCCGGACGCCTCTCCTATTGACAGCACCACGTCTTCCCCACCCGCGCCTGTCAGCATCCCCTTGAAGACTCGGGGCAAGGGACGGCCGTGCCCCGCGCACCCCGCACGAACAGTTTTGCTCTGTGGGAAGACGGGCGCTGTCGCGCCTGCTCCTCCCTGTCGTTCCCTCCCTCCCTCACAGCGCCCCCGCGCGGCGGCACGGCTCCCTCCCTGTTGCCACCCGTAGTGACGTCTCACAGCAGCAGCTCCTTTCGACTCTCCGATTGGTCAGCGGGTACGAGCGTGCGGGTGCGCGGGCGAAGGGAAGATTTTATTCTTAATCTATTTTCCGGGCCTTTGTGACTGCGTGAGGGGAGGGCCCGGGGCTGAGGAGGAGGAGGAGGGAAGCAGCGCTACGGAGGCTGTAGCGGCGGCTGTTGTTGCCGCCGTGAGGTAAAAGAACCATCAGTCCCTTTAAACTAGCGAGAGCCGCAGGCCCGGCCGGGCTCGCCCGCTGCCTCCCGGCCTCGAGTTCGAGTGCTGGCGGCGGAAGG